TCCGAGACAAGATTCACACAGAGGGCAACAAGGGAAACAAAAGTGTCTGCTAAACAAAAGATGGATTAGGGCTAGGTGCTACTCCCTGGAGCCAGGCCAGGTGCAGCTCAGCAGGAATGTGGCCACAAGGTTGATTTTAGGAGAATTTGATCTAGAAGCATTTTCCTTCATTGTTACTCCCTCCCAGTGAGTGAGTGAGTGAGTGTGTGTGTGTGTGTGTGTGTGTGTGTGTGTGTGTGTGTGTGCTCATGTTGGGGTGGTTCTACTTCCACTGTGGACTCTAGGGAGCCAACTCAGGTTGCCAGGCTTAGCAGCACTTTTACCAGTTCAGCGCTCACCTGCCCTGGAAATGTAAAGTCTCTTATTTTAGGTCATTAATATTAGGTCATTTGTCTGGTGCATGTTCAGCTGCTGTCACCACATTGCCCAGGGAACTGCCTGAGCAGAGGCCATTTCCAGGGGAAGGTTTTCTTCCCGATATTTTAGTGGTTTTGATGGTGTAAATTCATGGATTTCAAATCCTTGTAGCTCAAGTTTTCTCATGCAGCCAGGAGTTCACTAAGTGCTAATTGTTGCAACAATGTTAACAGCTGAAACTTAAAACAGGGTGTTTTCTGTTAGTTCAGTTCCTTCCCACAACTCACCAAAAAAGGTCTGGGTAGCAGATGCATTGAGCGGTAGAGGATTCAGAGTAAAACCCTCCCTCCTGGTGGTTTTGACTGAGAACTTCAACTTTACTTTCATTATTACCAGGCGGGATCAACAGGCATTAAAAGCAAGACAAAACAAAAATAGCAGATTTGCCCTTAAGAGTAATTCCAGCATTGAAAAAAGCAGGTGTTATGGCCGAACCTGTACATAATGCACAATTTTAGTGTAACTTTTAAAGTGAGATTAAGAGTTTTGAAATGTATTATTTAAGTTAGCATACAAAGTATTGGGTTTCATTGTGGCACTTTTATACACATTCATTATTAAGTATAAATTATTTACTAGCTATACTATTCATATTTCAGAGCCTGTAGTATGAGTTATACTGAAGGAATCAATATAAATTGAAATTTGAAATATTAGTATTTAATAGAAGGTCCTAGGCTAGGTGTTGATAACAGATATGAAGATGAATAATTACAGTCCCTCCACCAGGGAAGCTCCTAGACTTGCTAGTGAAGCAGACATGTAAATTAAACACCGAGGGAACACAAAGAAGAAATACATTTTCCAGGAAGGCATGGGCACCTGACAAAGTGACTCTTTAATTATGCCTTCGGAGAAGGAGATGACAGTTCTGGGATTTTTTTTTTTCCTGGAGCCAATAATAAAACAAGGCAACCACATTACCATTTCCACCATCTACAAGACATCTCAAATCCCACCACAACCCTAAAGAGGCTCTAGGAAGGCGATGAGGGAGCTGAAGTTCAAGGGAAGACGCTAAGGACCACAGAGCTGGTGGCGCAGAGTCTGAGCCCAGATGTGTACACTTCTTCCCCCAGACTGGCCTTGCCCTATCCAGAAATTTCCACTTGTGCTCGCTATCACATACTGTCTGTAGCTAACAGGTAACTGTGTAGAGTTTGGATGTGGAACTTGAATTTGGAAGCGTAAATAGAATGTCAAATTGCTCTAGGGTAGAGGGCTTGCCTAAAATGAGGCCATGAGTTCTGTCCCTAACTTCGAGTGGGAGGCAGGAACTGGAGAAATACATATAAAATAAAGTCAAGATAGATTCCCAGTTTAACCAGAAAACAGCAGCCTCTTCTCCCACTGAACTCGAATCACAGTTTGAAGACACAGACTTCCGATTTCATGTATTTACCAGATACTACCAAACTCTCCATAACACCATGAAGTCAACGAATGAGCCCTTGCACTTTCCTGGGACCTTCAGGACGGAGCATTCACACACGCTGAGTAGTTGCTGATTCACCCAGTGTTTTTACAGAGAGCTTATTTGGACGATGAGAGAGGGGTACTCTCCCACCCTCTGATCTGAACCGTGGGTTTCTCCTCCCGTCCCGTGGTTTGAGTGAAGCTAACCAAAGTGAAAAGATTGGACTTGATGTTTATAAGCGAGCAGATAAGAAAAGATGACCAAAACAGTGTAGTGCCATGGCTTTTAGACTAGCAGCTCTCCATATTTAATGTGTGTCATCAACCACCTGTCTACAGATGCAGAACTGTCCTGTTTGCCCTGTGAACCCTGTTAGGTCATCACAGACAAGGCCTGGCTACAGTTAGAAAGCCACTCTAGAGAAGTCTTGACAAGGGGGTGCATATATCATTTCCATACTTGAGCATTGTACCTATTCTTTTGTTTTTCCAGGGAGCGGGGAGTAGTGGTTTCCATAACTGCTCTCATGTGAAGTGCTTGCTTCATTTTCTTGGTGCTTTATGTCTATTATGGAATTCTCCCAAAACCCTCTTGTACTATACCTGGATTACTGATGGGTATGTGGGGGAAAAAAAAAAGCAGTCCTTTCCAGAGTTTAAAGAGGAAGAGCAGAGATAGAAGCCTGTTTCACCTTCACCAACTGCTGTGGGATGTTCTGTATGGCAAATGTGTTGCTCTGATTGGTCAATAAATAAAACACTGATTGGCCATTGGCTAGGCAGGAAGTATAGGCGGGACAAGGAGGAGAATAAAGCTGGGAAGTGGAAGGCTGAGTCAGGGAGACACTGTCAGCTGCCATGATGACAAACAGCATGTGAAGATGCCGGTAAGCCACGAGCTACATGGCAAGGTATAGATTAATAGAAATGGATTAATTTAAGCTGTAAGAACAGTTAGCAAGAAGCCTGCCACGGCCATACAGTTTGTAACCAATATAAGTCTCTGTGTTTACTTGGTCGGGTCTGAGCGGCTGTGGGACTGGCGGGTGACAGAGATTTGTCCTGACTGTGGGTTAGGCAGGAAAACTCTAGCTACAACCAACAGTCTAGGGCAGTGGTCCTCAACCTGTGGGTCGCGACCCCTTCACAGGATGACAGGCCTTTTCATAGGGGTTGCATATTAGATATCTTGCATATCAGATATTTACATTGTAATTCATAACAGTAGCAAAAATTACAGTCATGAAGTAGCAATGAAAATAATTTTATGGTTGAGGGGGTCACCACAACACGAAAAACTGTGTTAGAGGGTTGCGGTGTCGGGAAGGTGGAGAACCACCGGGCTAGGGTTGGTAGTTCCTTGGCAGTGGGTTAGCATTGCCTCAGCTTAGTTGAAATGCTAAAGATGACAGAGGGCTCACGTGTCCTGGGGAAGCGTGTGGAGAATAAGACACTGCACGGGAGGTTTTCAACTTTAGGAGTTGCTTTTCTGAGATTCACGTTTGGTTTTAGTGATCCAAACTCGAGGCCGGGAGACATTAGCACCGAGCTGCATCCCATTCCAGTGCCCGAGGTAAAATATTTGAATTGGGAGCTACCTCGTGGAATATTTTTGCATCTACCTGCTGGGTTAGGGGTACTTAGGTTTCTTTCCCTCCCTCCCTCCCTCCGTCCCTTCCTCCCTCCGTCCCTTTCTCCCTCCCTCCCTCCTTCCTCCCTCCCTCCCTTCCTTCCAACTGCCCAAACCAGTCTCTTTTCCCCAGAGACACCGGAACCTCCCTTGCATGTCCACCGGAACACCCCACCCTAGGCTGTTGGTCTGTCCTAGGTTAATGAGGTTGATGCAAGAGCGATTCCCCTAAGGCCTGAAGGGGTTTACGGTTGTCTTTGGAGCCAACAGCAGCTCTGGGATAAGAGACAGTGTAGTGTTTTATTTCGAGAGCGGGAAGAACAGTGAAGAGCCCAAGAGAGGTGAGGGGAGAGGCTTTTTTTTTTTTAAAATCACGGCTTGGGAAATGATTGCCTTCTAAAGACTTACAGTGCAAGAGCACACACACCAGTTAATGGCTGCTGGCCATTTCTTTCCTCTCCTCGGTCTCTCCCAGACTGCCAGGACAGAGTCATCGTTTATCATCGGTGCACTGAGGACAGCCAGCTGGTACTGACGAAGCCCTCACTCCCAGGAGACTCTGCTACAGTTATCTTGTCTGCACTTTCCCCCCACCAATCAGGAAATTTTTCTGTGTAGGGAGCTGCCAGCTTCCAGGATGTCAGTTTGCGTTTTTCGACCTATAATTGGGCAGAGAGACGGGAGGAGAAACCCACGGTTCAGATCAATGGGTGGGAGAGCATCCCTCCCTCCCTCACGCCGTCCAAACAACAGGTGGCTTGGTGTACACTGTTAACTCTTTTACACACACACACACACACACACACACACACACACACACACACACCAAATCGTAGGCGGAGCTTTCATACTGAGTGGCACCTGCTGGTCAGAGCCCAGAAGCCCATCGGGCAGGGTCAGGCAGACAGGGACTCCGGCCAGCGGGACACCAGGCTTGAGATTGTCCAGGAGCTTGGGGCTTCGTGAGCTAGGGACATTGGGTTTTTTCTTTCTCCTCTGTCCCCTTCAGTGTATCCCACCATCCTTTCCACCCGCTTCCTTTTAACCTTTAGTTCTCTGGGGAGGGGTTATCTCCCTCCTGACCCTCCAGGAGTTTCCAAGAGGGCTATTTTTAGCAGGAGCCACTCGCTCCAACTAAGCCCCAGGAGGAGCTGCGGTGTGGGAGCGGACGCCGCCCGCACAGCAGCCACCCTCTTTCTGGCATTGTTAGGGATGCGCACGGGAGGCAGCGGACGCAGCTGGTCTCCTCTGCAGTGCCCGCCAGGTGGGTGGTTCCGAGCCGCGCAATCATCCAGCGGTTAAGAGGATTGCTTTCCCGGTGCGGAACACAGTGCTCAGCAGCCAGCCGCAGCAGCGCAGGCCCGCCTGCCCGCCCTGCCCGGGCGCCGGGTGGTCTCTGCAGAGGAGGAAGTTCCCGGGCACCGCTGCCTGCGTCACAGCGGGGCTGGCACAGCGGCGGCGGCGGCGGCGGCGGCGGCTCGGCAGGCGGCGGCGACCCCGGGGCCGGGCGCTGGGCGGCGCTGGCTGCCGCGGGCCAGGCGGCGCGCGGGGCGGCGCTGGAGGCGGCTCCGCTCGCGGCCGGGGAGGCACCGGGGAGGAGGAACAGGGCTGCGGAGCTGGGGCGTTAGCTGCGTCCCGGCTTGGAGCCCGCGCGAAGAGGACGAGGACCGAGGCGCCGCCGTGGCCGCGGCTGCAGCACTCTGGGCGCGACAAACCATGAGCAACGACCTGGAGGTCGCTGGCCGCCGCTGAGACCCAACCCGGACACAGCTCGCCGCGCCCCGGCACCACCTCCAGCGGACACCCTCGCCCTCAGAGGTAAGGGCTGGGGACTCACGGTGGGATGGAGAGGGACGGCCGACACCCGGCCACTCGACTCAGTCCTCTGGTCGCGCCCCAGCCCGGATGCGCCCACCCCGCCTCGTTCGTGTCCCTGCCTCCTCTGGGCTCTGGGACAGGCATAATGTGGTCGCCTGCCCAGCGTGCGGTCCCGGGAGCCCGCCAATCCCAACCCCACCCAACCCACGCGAGTCCTGGCATCCGTGCCAGGGACCCCCAGCCTGGCGCCTAGCGCGGCGCGGCGGCACCAGGTTCTGGGGACTGGGGGAGGGGCGCACGAAGAGAAAACGCGGTCGCGGCAGGGATGGCCTGGGCGATTCTCCTTCCATACCTTCAAAACCCTGGAGATGCTGGGGCCTGGTTTTTCTGTTCTTTTTCCCCCAACCCCCTCGCCTCCCTGAATGCCTGAAGTTACACTTTTTTGAGGAAGGAGGGGGAAACCCATGGTCTCCGTAGGGATCGAGTGAGCGCCAGTCCGCTCACCTGCAGGACCAGGGGGGCGGGAGGGGGCTGCTTCGCATCCCACGGCCCGGAGGTTAGGTGTCTAGGCCAGCAGTTGCAGCCAGGACCTCTGCCTTCGACCCAGAGACTCGCTGATCCTTCGTTTTCTGTGGTTCCCAGCATAGAGGTAGGTGTGCGAGATGGAGTTAGCCCCTCAGGAGCCTTAGGGTGTGCTCTGTAAATGCCAAAGCTTTTCTCTTGTCCAGCAGCCAATTCTTCCCTCCCCCTACGCTTGGCTGTGTTCCTCAGATTTCAGTTATTTTCAAACCCTTCGAGTTTACCTGGCTTTGCGATGGCTTAGACCACCCCTAGTCCCCGTGCTTATGCGGAGGTTTTATTCCAGGGTGAGAGGCAGAACTTCACTGGGTTTCCAGTTCCTTAAGCATTTTAAACTCAGAGCAAATCATTTAAACATTTTCGGGTTCCTAGCTTCCTGAAAGTGAAAAAAATGAGACTAATTGCTCGTTGTGAGAGTGCCCGAGTTTGGCTCAGAGGCTTAAATTACCAGTTAGAGGTGCTGCTGTTCTCACTCCTGCAGACTGCAGTAGTGTAAAAGTGTGGCCTTCACTAACGGTGGTCATATTTCTGCCAAGTATGCAGTGGCTTTCTGAAGCTCCGACAAGGCTTTAGAGTGGCCTCGGCACTGAGGTCCCTTAACCTAGGTGTCAGGAATACAAGGGATTTTAAACCCTGGCTCACACAACTCGGGAAACTGCCAGCGGCGCAGCTTTATGCATGCGCTCTCTTTATTTTCTAATGATTTGTCCAAAGCCACTAAACCTGGTTGTAATCTGAACCTCATAGATGTTTCCTCAGATCTGCAGTCGATGCTGGACGGGTGGACAAAGCTATCGGATTAGATCTACACAACTCTGTAGTAGTAGTATGATAGCAGAATTTCTTATGATTTAAGACCAACTGGGGGTGGGGGGCAGTTTTGCAAGCACAAACTCTTCCCTCGTATTCTAGACTGACAGCAGGTAGAGGCCATCACCTCAATGTGTGTGAAAGGTGGTGAGCATGATTAACCATTCTTAGCAGTAAAATTGCCTAAAGCCTTTGCTAATGACATTATTGTTTCTCAGATTGACCGTGTACTTTATTTAACTGAGTGTTGTTGTCTTTGGTTTGTTTTATTGGTCTCATGTAGCCCAGGCTGGCCTCAGATTTACTGTTTACCAGAGGATGGCCTTGAACTCTGATCTCGAAAGTGCTGCGATTACCAGAGTATGCTGCCATGCCCAGTTTTTTCTATACTGTCGATTGAATCCGGGGCTATCAATTGATTTACATCCCCAAGAAGTGTAATTATTTTAAGGGAGGCTTTTAGTGAAGAAAGAAAGCTTTAAGAACTGTAAGAGAATTGAACAATTTCCTGCTTGTATAAAGTTGTTTTGTTTGTTTTTTCAAGACAGAGTTTCTCTGTGTAGCCCTGACTGTCCTGGAACTCACTTTGTAGACCAGGCTGGCCTCAAACTCACAGAGATCTGCCTGCCTCTACCTCCCAAGCAGGGAGATTAAAGGTGTGCACCACCATGCCAGTTGTAAAGTTTATCTTTTCAAAACAACACAGAGCCAGAAATATTCTTAACTCCAAATGCCCAGTTTTTTTTTTATCAAATTCTCATGACTGATTGATTGATTGATTTATTGATTGAGACAGGACTTCTTTGTTTAGCTTGGCTGTCCTGGAACTTGCTCTGTAGACCAGGGTAGCCTCAAACTCAGAGATCTGCCTGCCTCTGCCTCCCAAGAGCTGGGATTAAAGGCGTCAGACCCACCGGTGACCGCCGATGATTTTTAAACCTTCTGTAGTATTTTAATCTATAGTCATTGGCACCATTATAATAAAGCCTAAGTTTACAGAGAAATGAGGTGAAGTTTATACTTAATTCAGCAAGACTTATCTGAATGATTTAATGTGCTACATCTCCGTTATGCAAACTGGCTGTCCTGGTATCTCTCCATCCTGTGAGAGATGGTGCTATCCCTATTGTATAGAAGGGAGCTCAGAGCTGGTGACTTGCAAAAGGCCATGCAGCTGGAATATGCTAAGTAAATGCAGACAGTGTTTGTTTTTAGGCACTGCCTCATGCTGTAACCCAGGCTTACTTCACAGTCCTGGTAATCCTCCTGCCTCATCCTCCTGAGTGATAGGATTACAGATGTGAATCATCACGCCTGGTTCTCTTTAATTTTTAATGTTACACTTTCTCCCCATTATCTATAGACTTCCTCTTTTCCCTCTAACCTAAATATGCTTTTAGCTGACCATAACGCCTGCATAAGAAAACAGAAATTAATAATGTAAAGTAACCTCCCAGGGTTTGCCACACCTCTGCTATGCAAGAATTTGAATTTTGAATAAGGACAATCTATTTCCAAAGCCTGTGTTCTTTTTACTGATTGCAACTAAATGAATGATTTGAAACACCCTAATGGACCATTCTATTCTGCCCATCAGCTGCTCTTGTCTACTCGGCAACAGTGTCTCTTGAACTGTAACACATTCCCAGGATTTTCTGCTTCATCCTTGGAATGCTGGTTGTGTCTCTAGTCTTGGTTCATCTGTGAACATATATTACAACCCATGAGGATGACATTACTATGGAGGTGTCTTTGACTCCATTTCTTTTCAAATATAAATGGTAGCCATGCGTTGTGAGACTATCTGTAATCCCAGCACTCAGGAAGCAGAGGTATGGGGATTGCTACAAGTTTAAGGTGAGTTTGTTCTTGGCATTGTGAGTTCCACGCTGGTCTGGGCTACAGAGTGAAGTCCTTTCTCAAGAATAAATAAATAAATAAATAAAATCTGAACATATACCATAGTAAAATATATGCATCATTTTAAATTGGAACAGTATACATACAGAGTGTAGCCCCAGATAGGGGTAGATGCTGTCAAGTTCTGAGAGCACTGCAAAATGGGTATTCAAAGGACCTCACATGACTGAACCTCGATGAGCCCCAGTTTCCCTGTGTAATGGAGTTTTAGAGCCTACCTCGGGTGTGAATTAGATGAAGCAGCGCCTGTGAAGACAGCTCCCTTCTCTAGCAGATGAGCAGTAAGGACTCCATCTTTGTCTCTGACTAGGATCTCTGTTTTCACTTTCTATGTATTTTACCTGCAGGTGGTGATTAGTCAATCTGCCACAGACTCACTCTTCCTCCAGTTAACCTTGGGTCTAAATCTGTTTTTAGCATATCTAACTTTTGAATCACATCCTTTCTTGAAGTCTTGAGTTCGAAGCACACTCACCTTTTTTAGTCTTTCCTTTGTTCTGGGCCGCACATTTTAAAGAACTTACTAGAGCTGCTTCAGTGGATTGGAATGTGTATGCTTTGGCAAACAAACGTTCCTGTTTCTGCCACTCCGGGTCGGGTCGCTCAGCCTTGCTTATCTCTCAAGGCACCATGAGGATACTGGTATCTCCCCACCACACACCTCACCCTTGACCACCACACCACTCCCTGCTGCAACACTCCACAGCTTAATGCTCCCTTCTTTCCAGCCCCTAACCTCCCTCTGCATCTTCTGTCTGTCCAGTCAGACTTCCAACAAGCACTCTAATGCATTCATCTTTTTCTATGTAATTTCCCCAGGTAATTACTACAAAAAGCAGTAAGTTGTTGGAGGTTATAGACCTTTTTCTATGCTTAGGAGAATATCTTGTTACTTATGTCCTACATGAAAGACAAGCCATGTGTTTGTAAACGGTTCTTCCACAGCATCTAGGAAAGATGCCCACATTGCCTGCTTACCTTCTTATTTTGAGACTCATTCATCTCAACCTTCTCATTTGTTTTTAATATGTATGTGTGTAGGGTGTGTGCTGTGTGTATGTGTGTTCACGTGTTGTGGGCTTTATGTGTATGAAGCTGCACGTCCACATGTGTGGAGTCCCTGTGGAGGCTAATGGTGATATTCGGAATCTTTCCGGAGCACCATGTCTCCTTTATTGAAGCAGAGTCTTTTACTTCAGTCAGGAGCTCACCACTGTAGCTAGTCTAGTTAGAGCCGGTTTGCTTGTGAGATCCCGTTCTCTACTTCCGAGCCCTGATTGTACCTGACATTCACGTAACTTCCGAGTTGTCCTCACACTTGCAAGGCAAACTCACACCTACGCAGCCCCTTTCTTCACTTGTTACATGGCACTAGGATTACATTTACGGGAAGGTCACGTTTCTTAAAGGAAGCCTGTCCCTTCAGATGCCATGTAAGAAAGCCGTGCTTCATTAATAAATTACCCCTAGAGTGATGTAATAAACACCATTGGATTATAAGTCTGTTGAGCACATTAGAATCAGATAGTCTGGGGCGGGGCCGGGGCAGGGGGCTGTCTTTAATTAAGAAAGCCTTTACTGGAGAGCAAGGCAAGCCAATCTCAGAAGAAGTTTGAGATAGTGAGCAAGAAAGATTTGAAACCTTTGTTATGGGAAATAGAACTGACCAGGGCACAGCTCGAGGCTGCAAC